TGGAGGATGATGACGACCCAATGGTCACCCCGACATCTCATGCACGGAATGGTAGGAGAGGCGGTCTGTTCGCCCAAGGAGAGGCACCGAGTCTAGTTTTGACACGGCCATGTATTCGTGGTCAGACTTAAATGTATCCCTTAAAGAAAGAAACAACAAAGCCCCAAAGCTAACGACAATGGAACAAGCTATGCGCTACCTTCAAGCAATGCCGGATATGGATCCTGATCTTTTCCAGTATGTGTGCAAGAAGTTTCGGGATCCCACCAATCGAGCGATGTTTGCGGCACTTACTAGTGACGAGAGACGTCGTCTTATAATTAAAATGTGGATTGACGAGGGTCCCGGTGATCAGTGAATGGGGATGGTGGAGAACGTTTTTTATTGCCTTTTTTTTATTATTAGCTTATTGGACTTCAACTTTATGCGCGACCTTCAACTTTATTGCTTGCTTGTTGGACTTCTATAATTCCTATTATCTTCATTTGTACTCTGTCTAACATTTCCAAGCTACATTGGTTGTTGCATGATTATTTTTTATAATTTGTTTGTGGACATTTCTATGTATGTTTTTTAGCAAATACATTTATTTGTAGGATGTCTTATGTACACGATAGTGACTCACATGAGGAGCTGGATGATTTGCCCGACGACATTGATAGTGATTTGGAGCCGGTGGAAGACGATACCTTGGAAACAGCCTTAATGGTGGGGGCTCAATTTCATCAACTCGTAAATATTTTCTCGGCTTCCTCGTCGGCATTTCCCCCTTTAAGAAGGACTCCCTACCGAGAATCCACTCTCACGGGTTTGGATTGGGTAAATGAACTGTTAGCTGGAAATCCACGGCGCTTCAAAGATGCAATGGGCATAAATCAATGTCATTTTAGCATCCTATGTGATGAAATCAAAAGGGCGGGATTCCACGAAGAAACGAGACAACAAAGAATAGACATTGAAGAAAGTGTAGCCATTTTTCTTCATACAATAAAAGGTCATCAAAGGCAACGACGTGCGGGTGAGACATTCAGACATTCGGGGGAGACAATTAGTCGTCATTGTCACAAAGTCATCAATGCGCTATGTTATCTAGCCTCCGACTACATCCGTCCCCCAGACTTCAATCGCGTTGCACCGTGGATACGAAATAATCGGAACTTATATCCCTACTTCAAGGTAAATATATTACTTCATTTTTTTAATATGTTTTACTTTTATTATTTTAACATAAATTACTTGTATAGTGAAATTGTTTTTCTAATGCTAGGATTGTATTGGCGCCATTGACGGCACTATTATACCAGCGTGGGTGCCCGAAGGACATCAAGGTTCGTACAGATGTAGGAAAGGTTATTTAGCCCAAAATGTGATGTTGGCGTGTGATTTTGACTTGAAGTACACTTTCGTCCTAGCGGGCTGGGAAGGCAGCGCAAACGACGCACGTATTTTTAATCAAACTAAGGCAGACCCCAGATATAATTTTCCACCACCCGGTAATTCAATCAGTACACTTTTCATACATTTGTATTATTACGTAATAAAATCATAATTTATTTTATCAATTTTTTCTACAGTGCTCGTAACTTCACAACATATGTTCATGCAGGTAAATTCTATGTGGTGGACTCCGGATACGCAAACATCCCAGGTTTCATGACGCCATATCGTGGTGAAAGATATCATCTTCCAGAGTGGTTGGGGTCTAACCAGTTGCCCGGCAATGCTCGTGAGTTGTTTAACAGAAGACATGCCACTGTCCGTAACGTTATCGAACGCAGCTTCGGTTTGCTAAAAGGGAAGTTTCCCATCATAAAGGGGTTGATGCCAAACTACAAAGTTCACTCGCAAACCGACATTGTAATAGCTTGTTGTGTTCTACACAATTTTATTCGGATGCATGAACCGCTAGAAAACATGCCCCCTGAATTCAGGAACACAGAGTACGTACGGCGACATGATCCTCGCGATCGTACTTTCCCTTTTATGTCCAATGATGGGAACGCGAACCCCAGCGTTGGTGAGCATTGTGTGTTGCGTGACACGATAGCCCAAGCCATGTGGGCGAACCGAAGATAGAACATCGTTTGTATTAATGAAACCCAAAAACATATTTGCGCGTGTAGTACTATCGGGTTTAGTTTAAATATTGTTGTGTTCTTCGTAATATTTTACGTTCGTAATTTCGTATACTTATTTAGTATGAAAACTAAAAATATATATTATTTTAGTATGAAAACTATTTTATTTCAAAAAATATTCTGAACCTAGTTTATTTTATAATAAAATAATTTTTACTCGTAATAACAATTTTTACTCGTAATATCAATTTTTACTAGTAAAAACATTATGAAGTCATTTTACTCGTAAAAGTGGTGTGGTTTTCTTCATTGATAAATTTCGGACATGAGTGACGAGTGTCAGATATGGAAAACACATGCCACATTATGGAGAGATGGTTGCATGTGAATTCTTGTCGGTTCCCACTACAAAGCATTTTTTTCCAACTTTGGCAATCTTTTTTTGTCTTTCTTTTTAC